CAAACATGAATGAGATCAGAAAGAGAATATGGAGTCTGATCTAGAAAGAGAAGTCACTACCTGCGAGCTCGAAGAAAGATGAGGAGCGCGCGTAAGATAACAATGAAACAAAGTAAAATGTTATAAAATCTAATCCAGAGTGATGTATCAGTGAAAATGTAAAAGTGTTGAGAATAGGATGGAGGGAAACTTACTGATTCTTTTCGAGACAAAAAGAACCAGAAAAGAGGGACAAAGAGAATTCTACAACAGTAAGCTGATATCCCAAGAAAAACTTTTCAACCAACCCCTTGCTTCACAATTCCAGCTAACCCCTTTCATCCATTCTTCTTACAATGTTGCCACACACACACCCCACCCCAACCTTCTAACCCTGAATACAACACTGTCAATGACCAAATCGGGAAAATGATCTTTGAACACCTAAATAAGATACAATAACACTTAACCACCTTGTATCTTAACAGCACCCACCACTTGCTGTGTATGCCCTTGGGATATGGCCTATGTATCTGTAGCCAAACCTGCATATACCAATACCATTGGAATACCATAAACCTCCTCAAACCACCAACACAGTCAGCCATATCCCAATATTGTAAATCACAATAAGGTTATTTGTCTGATCCGTGAAAGGGTGCTGAAAAGTGTGGTACACTTTGGTAATAATAAGAAGCAACATTTCCTTGTAATTTGCTTGTGAAAGTTGTGTTAGAATCAAAAAAAGGAAAGTTGAATCCACCTAAATACTTGCCATCTAATTTGGAAACGGCTTGCTGAGAGGAATACATGTGTGTAGAGTGGTCTGTTTCATACACAGGGGCCAAAATTGATGCTCACATACATGTGAGCATTGTAGACTTTTTTGAATTCTCCAAAAAAGATTCATTTTCTTTCAGATTCATTCAATTCACAATTTTGGTTGTGTTCAGGTGATCAGCCTGTGTTGCTCATATTTTGCTTGACATTTCTTGAGAAGGCTCATTTCCATCTTGGATGAGCAATAACTGAGTCCAGATGAGTACTCAGGATCAGCTCATGAGTCACTGTATACTCAGCAATTTGTTCAAAATGAAAATGAGCACATGAACTATACCTTCCTCAGGCTTCATTTCTTATTGAAGAAGCCTGCACATGGGTGTCCCTTTTGAGCTGCTCAGCAAATACTCAGTGGCATCCCCTGGCTGAATCACTGATGGCCCAGACATTCCTCAGACTTCCTTGCTAAGGAAAGAAGCCTGATAAAAGAGCCATCCCATTTGCTCAGCTAATCCTCAGTGATGTTCCCTGGATAAAGCTGTTCACACTGAGGGGCTGAGATTAACTGAGCAGCCCCTCAGCCAATACTTTGGATCCTTCTGATCCCAGGAATGCCCCTGAGGACTAGCTGAGCACTGGAATCCTCTGGATCCTTCTGATCTCAGGAATGCCACAGAGGAATAGCTGAGCAGCTCAGTTGAACTGAGCAGATGGGCCTCAGGCTTCATTCCGGAGACATGAAGCTTGAGGCAAGCCTGGCCCTCTGGGATCTGTCCAAGGGATTCTGCAGACACTTAGCTAAGGGAATACTGAGTTCAGCTCAGCCCTTAATCTAATCATTAGTGGTGTCCCTTGGAACCTACTGAACCAGGGAATGCCGCTCAGGATCAGCTGAGATAAACTGAGCAGATGGATCAGCCCTTCCTCAGACTTTTTTGCTCAGGAATAAAGCCTGAGGAAGGCTTAGTTTGTCTGCTCAATTCCTGTTGATCACGTAATCAGCTGACAAGCAGAAAGAAATAGGGAAGTAAAGGGAAGTAAAATTGAACAAACATTGAAGAAAACACAAAAATTTCAACGCTCACACCTATGTGAGCATCAATTTTTGCCCCTGTGATATGAGATGCACACCAGAATATTGGAGAGTGGAAATGGACAAGTGGAAAAAGGTTAATAAGGGCACATGATCCTTGGAGCTCCTAAAGCTCAAGTTTGCTGTAAGACCCTCTTTGCTGCCAGAGTGCTTGTGCTAAGCACTGGACTGTCACAGATTGGGAATGGGAATGGGAATGGACACTGTATGAATGAATTGGCATACAGAATCTAGTCAACACTAGGGGTATGACCCGGCCCTGAAGTGTCAGGGCCGGCCCCAGGGCCGATTTAGGCCCGGCCTCGGCCACGCAATACTCAAGGATGCTGCCGGGAAGCACCGGGCAGGCCCTGGCTCGGACCATCCCCTTGAAAGCGTGTTTGAGAGCTCGGGAAGGATGCTTGATGACGTCAATTTTTGCAAAAAAATGCCTCCATAAAGATTTTTTGCAACGGCCCGGCCCCGAGTAGCCCTGTACCTGGGCCTTTTTTGCTATCCCCAGGCTGGACTTGAGGCAGAGAAACCAAAGCCTTGTGCGACCCTTCTGGCCGGCCAGCGAAATTGGCCAGCCGCTGGTCATTTCACACGATGTACAGGGGCATTTCACATGTATTTGAATATCCCTGCGTGTCACACGCCTCCATCTGCCAAACTGTCGGATACACAACAAATAACAAATTCAGTCCATAGCAACACCAAACCGCACCAAACTGCACCAAACCTTCCTAAATCGTCCTCATCCAATGTCCATTCAATCAGTTATAATCGCGTTTTCAAATCCCCATACTATACCTCACTACACCATATTGAAACTTTTGTCAAACGCACACAATGCGATGTGACTTCATGCGAAATAAAAACAAACGTTCAAAAACGAACGTTCCATTTGGTCTTGCCCGTCACAACACAAATGAAGGAGCACTCCAACCAATAGGAATTGCTCGCCGATGATAGAACATTAAAATTAGAAATGTCTACTCGGGGACACATCCTTTAGAAGCACGTACACCCAAAGAGAAAACATTGAGTACAAACTGAAAACTGTTTTGTGAAATCTGAATCTCAGCATATGGCACAATTCATCTCCGCTCTGATTCGATTTCATTGTTCTCAAACCTTTTGTTTGAAGCTTTTTGTACCAGCTGGGCTACAGACAGAACTGGTCTTGCTTTTATTTACTCTTAAGCAAATCACCTCGTAGCACTTCGTATCCGCCTTCCATAAAAGTGATTCTGTCGTTCTCGTACTCATCACTTTGGACCCTATTCATATAATCTTCAGCTTCAACTTCCGCACATAATGCTTGTCAAAGTCCTTATGTCACGGCTGGCCACATTATACCCTGATACCTATCAGGAATTAACGTTGAGCCAGCTCATATCATTTGTCAATTTTTCCGCGGATTTTTTAAAGAGGAATGACGGGGCACACCCGATGACGGCTCTCCATGGGCCTGTGGTAATCTTTGTTGTATTTCCACCTTTGCCACCTTCGCCAGAAGGGGAGTGCATGGCGACCGTCAGTTCATTTGGGGAGATCACAATACACGGGACATTGGATCGGGCACATTGAAATGTGACTGCGTTGACGGATCTGTAATTACATATACCTATGGTGTCAGCTGTACTGGCCAGCGGCCAGCGGCCCGTGCTGGTCAGTAGGTTTGCACAGGGCTGCTACTGCTCACACTTGAGGCCCCGGGCTCGGCCTCGACCTCACCTACAAAACGCTTGGGCACACTTGGGCGGGCAGGGCCAGGGCCGGGTCATAGCCCTAGTCAACACCCAATTTGTCATGGCTTCTGCTTTAACTCAACCAACTTCATCCAGCAAGTGCAGTGTGACTATGAAATCCATGTACTCGATTGGTTCAAGACACCATTTTGAAAAGCTGCAGGTCAAGTTTTCTCTTTGCAACAGTCAACACAAATATATCTTGCATGAGGAGTGGGTGCCCTCATGGCAACCACAGCAGAGTATCTGTTCTGCCTTCAAACTCGCACATCCCAGCAAGGTAGGACACTGCCACCACATCTACAAGATGCTGTGCAGATGTCCCTTGGACGTCAAGACCATGTTCTGAGCTGGGGTGTCCGTCCAATCACTGGATCTTGGACAATCTGGTCACCCTTTGGCTCAACTCTGTACCTCAATATATATCATGGCTTTACAGGGGATTAAATGTCATGGAGGTATGGGCTTACAGGTTTCCCAAGCCCTGACCACACGTTGACATAACCCATTCCCTCAAAGGGTATGGTCATACACAGGTGTGATGTATGTACCCACGTTATTTTTGGACCTGGGCGGCTGGCTCTGTTGGCTCTCTTTTTTTCTTGCATTGAGCTGATGAGCACAAACGTTCATTTATAGCACACTTGACGACACAAGGTTCTTCTTGCCCAATACTGTTAAATAAAACGCTTTCAAACCTAGGTTCAGATTTTACAAATGAACTGAATTATATTTCAAAGCTCAATCAGGATGGTTATTGAAGTCATTTTGGACCAAACGGGTCGAGGCAAGCCTGATTAATAAGAGCTGGTGCCGAGATCGAACCGCCTGGCAGAACAACTGTGGTGTGCGATGCTACCTCATATTCACCTGAATGCGAGAAGACAGGGCACTTGACGAAATCTGAACCTTTGATAGATTTTCTTATCCCGAATTGATTGTTCACAAATCGTCCAATCGGCTGGATGTCGAGAAGTTGGAGCGCAAAGAGTCGTGCAGAGCAAAATATGTTCGCTTCATAAGCATTGACATGAAAACTTCAGCATGAGTGCATTTGTGTCTCACGTCGCTTGCTTTACAGCGTCCATGGACGATGGATCGATCAACTGCTACGATGTTGAATAATGTTCATGAAGCCAATGCTGAGCTTTGCAGTCACAACATAGAACTTCATTCTTTATCGTGACTGGAAGAGCTTTGGCCGAAGTGGACAATATCGTGAGCTGGGCGATCGCCCAGTATCACAGCCAGCAAGGACCTACTCAGTCAAGTGCCAGTCCTCCGGGCCAATAAGGATTACCCTTTTATCCTTAATGAAAGAGTTACTTCCCTGATGGGTCCTGGGTCATTGTGCCTCTCTTCACCTCACTATAAGAGGCTTCACATAACGCATCACGGGCTTACGCGTGCTACTTTCCTAACATATTCATTTTGGTTCATTCAAAGGCTCCACGCGATTGCGGCTCACTGCAACACATCTCAACTTGCCAAGTTGTCATCAAACGAGATCCTATTTATCATATTCATTCATTGCTTTCGAACTGCGCTACATTCTCATCTCCTATCCATAGTCTCCGCTTTTCAGAACATAACACGAGCTTTAGTCACTCACCCCAAACACCTACACGATGCACTCGACCAGTTACTTCCGCGTAGCAATCGCATATGCACTACCACTTCTTGCCCAGGCATTCACAAAGGGCGTTGATCCATCTCACCCCCCTCACAAAACTGAAGAAGGGCAGACAGGCTACAACGATTGTGGAACCCAAGACTCTCCGAATTCTCAATGCCAGTAAGCTGTTCCGTTGAATACATGCTGACCAGGTGTCTAACGTGTGCGCACTTCTACCCTATCATACATCTCTCAGAAACGCTTGGGTCAACGGCATAGATGATGTAAGGCGCCATTCAACATACCATCCATTTGGTTTATATTAACTTCAGTTTCTTCACAGTTTTGTCTATTTAGTTCTCCAACCCATGCGGACGTGGGCAATTCCGAGCGTGTTGCTGTGGCCTATTGTACAAAGCCAGGACATGGTTCTCGTTTAATGCCAGCCGGAACCCTTCAAGGGGCACATTTTGTTCAAACTCCGCACTATGTCCAGATCACTGGCAAGGGTGATTTCACCAAACTGATGCTGCCCCAGGGAGATCAAGGTGGCGAGCTTGGTAAGCAAAATTTCAACGTGCTGCCTTGAGGCCGGATGGGTTGCTAACAATCAATTTTATTCATTGATGTCCAGATCCGCACGGTAAGCTCGAAACAAAACCGCCGTCCTTCGTCGCCCCCAACGTAGAATTCATTGTTGACCATTTTCCAACTTGTTATATTAGGTGCTGATGGTCTCGGAAATCCGATCGGTGGCTTAGTCTTCGGAAATGACCCCACGGGCAAACGCATCCAGTTTGCGGAGTGGACAGAATTTATTGCCGCTGACGAATTTTGCATTCGGTGCGCTTTTTCTTCATCTCTTCATTTCTCATTGAAAGCCAGCTCACGATTTCATCAATACAGAGCATGTTTTCCAACTGCCGATGGTCGCGCCCCAGATTATTGCAACGTCAGTAACATCATCATAGTAGCTTGTATCCCAAGCACCAGCCTAACCCCCTATTATATGTCCAGCATATATATGATACTCAAGGGTGCGCTTGGAATATGCCTGGAAATTACGACAATGGATTTGACTCGTGCAAGGCAGATGACGTAGAGCCAATGGGCGAAGTAAGTCCTTTCTCACAAACTTCGCGCGCTTCAGTAGGGTATGTTCTAATTTGAAAACGTCTTCAATCTGCAGTATCAATACAAAGGCGCCGATGGCAAATACACCACTTAGTTGCGTCACTTTTTACTTGAACGCGATCATTTCCTCATTGCAATCATAACATAATATCCTTACTAACCACGTCATTCATACAAAAATAGTCGTTGGTACCAGGGTCAAGTCAGTCATCCATCATCACGATTAACAGATCTTCATTATTTAACCTTTTGCCTTCTGGTTTGTCACATCAGCCGAACCGTCCTGAGGCGCATCCTCCGGCTAAAACATCCCAATGTAAGAACTATTCTGCCGCCGCAATCAACTCAGGTGCCAATTACGGGCCCGCACCCACGACTCGTGTACGCGATCTCAAGTTTCTATATCCGCGATAGGCCAAAATAAACTGATGCTGATTTCCTTCGATTCGAAAAGAACACGTCTGTCAAGCCCCGCCCTGCCACTGCCCCACAATCGAACCCTGGCACTCCATTGGAGCAACACATGTCACGCAGCAAAACTCGTCGATCTACTTTCTAATTCATGCACTCTTAGCATCATTACCTTTCTGTCATTACCATCAACCATGTACACAACTTTTAGTTAACTTTATTGATGCAGTAATATGTATTCTTGAGCTCGCAATTAAACACTTTTTACACAAAACTCGTCAGGGCAAGCAAAGCCCGTCTTGCCACCAAGTTCAATATTTTTGAGTTCACAAGGACCTTGCCCAACCATCATTTGTACCCATCATCCAATACATACTCAGACTTATAAGACTCCATCTTATATAAATCTATATCCACTTCTGTTGAAAGTCACGTTGAAAGTAAAATGTTTTGACCATAAAGAAATTGCATCACAAACAAAGTAGGCAATTTTCACTCATCACATGAACAAATACCCATGAGTGCGGCTAGTCTACCAATACCAACCTAAGGCTATGTGATTCTTATTTGGCTACTCAAACTTGCCTGAGTTGAATGAGTCTTACACCATATCACTGGGACTCACAGTTGCAGAACACCATTCGCCAGTTATAATTTTGAATTTGGGAAGTTATGTAACCAAGACCTGCCAATAAAATCAGGCTTGGCTGGAAAATCAGTGCCGCCCAATTGTACACATTTTTTGACGGCGAAAGGATCTTTTGAGCCGAAATCAGTAGCACTCAGGTACCCAATGTTCACCAATGGTAAATGATTAATTGTTCCACACATCTTTCATTACAAATTTGGTATGCTTGTCACGACAAACTTCTCCTATGGTGAAGCAAACCGCAAGAATTATTCTCGCAAAGTATGAACTCTCATGAATTCTGCTTCATACTTCAAAATCATACTAACAAATCGTGTCAAGTCTCAACCTATCCATATATTTATAATATGGCTCTGAACATTAAGTAATAGGTTTAAGAAATAGTATTAAATCGCAAGCTGATCGACTTGAAGAATCCCTGTAAACATCAAAGATCATTGGTATTTCCCATAGAAATGATATACTCAAATCCTATACCTTCACATTCATTCAAAGAACCAAAAAACACTCATTGTTATGTGTATGACAAGCTAAAGAACTAGATATATAACACAAAAGCTTTCCACATCTCCATCACACAATCAAAAAAACTACGATTAATCATTGATATTACCAAGGTTATACATGCAAACAGGCCAATACAAAGTCGCACAAGCTGACCATCAAGAAAAAATACATGAAAGCATCAATCAATATATTCGATACACTCTTGATCCAAAAAGAAAGTACACACACAGTCAATCATGATGTAGACGAAGGCTCAAGTTGATGATGGCCAATTGGTAAGTCTGAACTGCCAGTAGCAGTACCACCAGAGCTTGCTTCTGGTTCGCGGTGATCCTTCTTTAGCGCACTACCACTACCTATCGGGCCAGGAGTGATGTTCTTGAAAATCTTGAGTGGATATTGAGGATGAGCTACAAATCCATCAGGTGGCACGATATGAGGCGGGGTATGTTGAGGGTGAGCGACAAAAGGGACAGGGTATTGAGGATGCGGTACAAAATTAGGTGGTAAGCTGATGGGATGTTGTGGATGAGGTACAAATGGGAGACGGTTCTGTGGATGAGCAATGATAGTGTGGGTCGGTTGTGAAGCAGTGGTCTTTGGTAATTCATTTGTCGAGTTGCTGGTGATTGAAGTAGATTGAGACGTCGAATTCGAGGGGGAGTTGCTACTCGGGAGTTTGATTTTGAACTTTTTCGTCCGCACAGGTACGACGGGCGTTGATCGGTCCTGCTTTGCCGGAATGCTGGTTTGTGTGGCAAGAGAAGCTGTGGCTTGGGATGCTGGTAGTGGGTTTGGTGTTTGTGATGATGCTACAGGTGCTAGGGATGCATCATCTGTGATTAAGTCGCCGGAATCCCAAGGACCCGCAGCGGAGGGGACCCTTTTTCGCACTTTGGGTTTCGTCACTTTCGACGTAGTAGCCTTGGAACCCGACTGTTCAGGTTGGATTTGCTGTGACAAAGGGCTAGCCAAAGCCGGCAGGTTTTGTGACAAGTGATTTTTTGGCATAGTGGGTTTGTGACTGATGGTCGATGGGGAGGCGCTTGGCCGCTTTGTCTTCGTTGAAGGTCTGTTGGGTAGCAACGAGCCAGAGGGAGATTCGACCGAGGTTGATGCCAGGGCTGGTCTGGCCGATGGCTCACCCGACTCGGAGCCCACGACGTGCGGTAGATTCTGCCGCGATATCACGCTCTCGAGGGTCGACGTATGGGATGTGATACTTGCTTGAATGTTTGACTTCGAGCTGGCAGTCAGCTTAGCTGCGCTTGGTCGTTTTGCCTTCGTCTTGTTGGATGAACGCACGGAGGATGGTGACAAATTTATGCTATCCGGCGAACTTGCCACGCTTGGTCGTTTGGTCTTCGTTTTACTGGATAAAAGGTGGGGTGATGAGAGGAATTTTACACCATTCAGTGAACTCTCCATGGCATCCGGTCGTGGCAGCGATGAGGTAAGAGAACCTCCAAGTAGTGGCGCGCGTTGGAAAGTTGAGCCAGAAGCAGCCCCGGAAATACTCTTCCCATGAGGACCAGCAGATGTAGAAAGTTGTACCGCCAAATTGGCGGGCAGAGCATTGGTAGCCTTGTCAGAAGTTGACACAGTATGACGAGCCGGCAATTTAAGAATCATCTTGGGCATCTGTGGTCTTTCAATTGGCCTATCAAGAGACGACAAAGGGGCAGAGACAATTCGCTTCTTAACGTTGGCAGGCCTGTTAGCTTTCTTGGGAAGCGTAGATGGATTTGTAAGAGGCGGCAGATGGATGAGAGATACCTCGATCGGCTTGGAGGTTGAAGGTTGGGGGTTAGTGACCTTCTGTTCAAGTATCTCATCTGGGCGCACAGCTGCGCTCATACCGGGATTGTCTTGTGTAGAAGCTAGCTTTGAAGGATTGTCATCAACCCGTTTTGTATAAGAGTTCTTAGCTGCTAGATCGACTGAGTAGTCGTCGCGACGAGCTTTTTTTCGAGGTCGAGTGGCTCCATTGGTACCAGAAGCCTTATGTGGGGAGGTATCACGCTTCAATGAAGACGTTCCAGGTAAGGGGGCTTGAGGAGGTTTGGGATTAGTGGACACTCCGGGTAGCATTTCAACCATGGTTATAGCGGACTCTGTGTTGTTCACTACCGGTGCCTTCTGTTGTTTTCTTTTTACAGGGACAATAGGCGACCCTGGACGTAGATCAGATGAGATCGTTGCAGAGGGATAAGCCAGTGGTTTAGAGTTTGTCGCAGTTGCATTACTCGGGCGCTTTGAAGTTCGAGGGCGTGGCGTAGTGTCTTGGGAAGGTTTACTCCGACCAGCTGAAGAGCCTTGTGTAGGTTTTTTAGATCTATCTACTAGGAGTAACATGGGATCTGATATCCCGCGATCTGAGGCGCAGCGATTATAAAGATGTGAGACTCTAAGGGGGCTTATGACTTCCTGACTCGAAGGGCTCCGGTCCGGTTGGTCCAGATACTTTGTCCCTTTGATCCTGATACGTGTCGGTGCTTTGGAAAACAGACTGTCATCTGTATCTGCGTCAGCTGTGTCTTGATCAGACGGGTGTTGCGACGGTTTCGGAGACTTCGGAGACTCTATAGCTGCCCGAGAGGCTTCAGAAACTGCCACGTTGATATTGTCTTTGGCAGGAGGGTACGTGGTTTGGATTGGAAACCCCCTAGGTTTCCTGATCACACCGGGAATCGGAATCGGAGTAGCTGATGTGGCAGGAGAGTGAGTTGCATCAGGGCGCGACGGTCCTTTCGATTGGTCGCCTTGAGAAACAGTGAGTGAAGGGGCAATTTTGGTTGCAATGTCAGCGTCGGATTTGGTCGCATGAGCCGTTGAATCCTGATTGAGCGTGGAGGAATTCGGAGTTGAATTGAGAGCCGAAGCATTCGCCAGCCGACTTGAACCTCTTGTGCCCACTCGAGGTGTCGAGATACGTGCACGTCGGCGGGATTGAAGTCTTTTGTCAGTAATCTGAGATGACAATTGAGTTGATCTTGTGTCGCGTGGAGGACTCGGACCCGAGTCTTTGCTGTCTTTATCTGCAACCACAGAAGCAGCTTGAAGAAGACAGGATAAATTCGGTTGCGGAGAGATATGAGGCTCCGGAGACGAAGAGCGGGATGAGGGCTGTGAGGCATCCCCCGACTGATAGATAAGAAACAAAGATTTCTAGTCAGAATGTATCGTCTTGACGAGAACAAGAGGCAGCTCACTATGCTACATCCGAGTCCATGTTGGCCCAAGACTACGGCATTCACTTTGCTAGGTGAAGTGGATGCATCTTCGCTTGTAGCAGCTGACGTTGGAAGGATGTCTTGACCTAGAACAGGCAGTCGTGGTGTTTCAGTCGTAGAGCTGATGGAAGTCAAGGGTGACGAGTCGCGAGTCCGATGAGTCAGCAATTGACTACTGTTATCATGACAAGATTAGTTGGATTCCGAAGCGCGTGCGCATTCGTCGAGGTGCAAAAACTGACGCATGATCCGAACCGCCAATTTTGCTCCAGAAATCAAGGATGATAATATTTTCGGGTACCTGGTATCTGACTCGATTAATAACCAGTTCCTCTACGTTTTTGGCCTTGATCCGCCTTTGAGAAGAAACTATGACATCAATGTCACCATCATTAGGAGTATACGGTTCTGTGACGTTGACTGTGACCGACTCTTTTGGGAATCTTCGACTCGGCTAGCAGAGCAGATGAAATCAGTCAAATAAAGACCTGAGTCAAGAAACGAGGAGGACTTACTGCAGCCTTCTCAGCATGTAATGGACACATCCATTTCACAGTAGATGGTGGCGGAGCGACAAGGGGCGGGTCCAGGCAATCCAGATGAAAGTATTGGTCGCACTCATCACAACCCAAGATCTTGAGTCTTTTGGCAACAGAGGCACCAAGTCCGCATGCATAGCACAGAATCGTTTTACCATCGCGAGTTTTGATCTGATATGGATGGGGATCTTCCGCATAGCCTTTCACGCCACTAGAACCGAGACAGATGTATACTGATCAACTCGCGAAGGTCTTCGAAAGAGAGATAGAGATAGGAATGAATACCGCATGACGTACTCGACTTTCTTTTTGGTTTTGATGCGCGATTGGTCAACAAAATCGCCCGTGTAAGGGTTTGTGGCGACTGTGAATCGAGCGTAGTGTCAATGCTGAGGATCATGGAAGATGATGACAAAAACACTCACCATTCTCATAGCGGTTCCTCAGTCCTTCGGGAAGCTTGAATACTTTAGGATTTTCGTTGTGCTGCTGCTGAATTAAGGCAGAAAAGATTCCAGTGGAAGTCGATGGGATAGGGGCATGTCGATCCTGGAATCAACGGATGTAGGCATATTGGAAAATTAGTCTCTTGCAGCGAAGGCTATGGTATAATCAACATGAAAGCATGAAGGACCATCTTTCATGAGAAGTGAAATAATCACCTGACTGGCATCACATTCACGACAATACCAATGTTCTCCCGCTTCCTCAACCCCAGCCAAAGGTGGTTCCAAGCAAAAGGGGTGGAAAACGCGCGGACAGCCGTCGCAACAGACATAGAGACCAGCTGCCCCGCATGCAGCACAAAGATCGCTGCTGACCTATGGGCGGGATCAATTGTAAGAGAACGACAACAGAAAGTTTGTTCAAAGGAGTTGAGATGTGTCGCCGTGGAGTGTGTTGCTTACATTTGTCAGTTCGAGGCCCGCAGAAGGTCGAGCTGAGCTTGCAACCGCAGCTGTAGCCATTCTGCGAGAAGGACCTTTTCCATTTCTAAAGACGTTCGAGTCGAATGATGATCAGGCTGAGAAACAATGACAGCAGACCATGAGGGGGTTGTATGACAGGGGTACGTGACAGACCTGTGCTTAACATTCGCTTTAGATCGCTTAGCACGACTCGTGGTGGCCGAGGCATTAGCAGTAGTGGTTGCGGTGGTCGGCTCAGGGTGTGGACGTTTGGTGGAAGTGAGTGGGAGGCTTGTGGACTCAGGAACGTTAGCCTTGGTGCAGGTGGAGGTGGGGAGGTCGAGTGAGGTGGATGAGTTTACGAGAGACGGTAAGTCGGACATTGTGTTTGAGTGAGAGTGCGAGAACGACCGAGTTCACTGAGTGTAGTTACTGTAATTCGTAATTCGAAAGGGCAGAGGGATGGTCGGACAAAATTATGGATCGATTGAGGATGTAGTCGAATTGAAATCTTCCCAAGCAGTGCGAACAACTAAGCTGAGAATCGGAGACAAAGATAGAAACGGTCGTAAGTGAAGATTTTACAAGTTCGGGGTCATCCTAAGCTCGAAAGGCTGAATGAGTTATACCGAATGAAGCTGAAGAGGATCATCCACAATAAAGAAAGACATCAAGGGTAGACAATCCAAGATAAGAGTAAGTCGTAAAATGAGATAAGTTTATCGATTCAGAAACAAAAAGATTAGTAACCGTATGCTTTACTTACCTTTGCCTTTGTCTCTTGTCCAAGTTTCTTTTTCTCCTTCTTCTCTTGCTTATATGTTTTGACTTCACTTCCTCAGCATTTCTAAATTACAGTATGTAGAATGAAGTTATGTAAGTGAAAGTGAATATGTATGCATGTAGTAGGTTGATAAAAGAGGTTGAAGTACACTAGCGATTTCTCAAATTGAGATCGTTTCAAAAATGCAGACAGTTGTTGATGATGCGAAATCGTAAGGAAAAGTATTCCTTCGAAAGGCGATGAGAATGACTGAGTGATGAGTAAAAGATTTGAACAATTACTCATTGAGCTGCCAACCGATCGATGACCAAACTTGTCATCGAAACAAACGCAAATGACTCACAGTTTCAGGCTCAAGGAAGGATTTGATTTTTATCTTTTCTCCCTCCTTGCTGTTCGATGTGATGAGAGGTCTAAGATTTAGATATCGCGATTGAACTTTGACTTCAAACCAACTTCTTGAAGGCAGGCCGAAGATGAACAATGCTCTACTACGTGTAAGTCTCACTCTAGAACAGCAGCCGGACGATGAGTTGATAGGTTGTAGAAAGGAAAAGAAAAAGGTAAAGTTGATCAAGTTGAACTTTTCATTTTAGTAGCTTCAGTCACAGTATTATCGAACAATTCATCATCACCCATACAAAAAGATACTCAATACAGTCTGTCAACTCGCAACATTTGCATCATCTTCATCCTATTTGTTGATTTTATATCTCATTTAAGCTTAACATAAGCCCCTCTTCCGACGCGGCCACGTCCGCTCTCGAAGAGGGGCTTAGGGCATACACCCCGAGCTTGGCCTGAGACCAGCAGGAATTTCGAGCACTTTTGCTTGAAATCCCTTTTTGAGGGCTTTAAACATCGTAAAAGGTTGCAAGAAATTCAGGAGTGCCTCTGCTGAGCCTTCTCCTTCACTTCGGACTGTTTTTAGCATGTCACCACTTGTAGATTGTGGGAAAATTGGATTCCAATATCCATGGATTTCAACGGGTTCAGCGCGCGTGCAGGCCCGGAAATTGATTTGGGAGTATTGGCCAAATATTTTGTTTCGGACCCCCATTATTTTGTTTTGGACAGAAGTCCAAAACAAGCTTACGTGCGGCTATCTGCCCCAAGCGCTTTCAATTGTTGCACCCCCGCTCATGCACGACGCGGTTACAACGCGGTTGAACACCACCACCTAATTACCTTTAGACATGCATCTTCGAAGTTCAGCAAGAGAAGCAGCGACCACGAAATCACCGGAAGACAATTCTAATCAAGCAAGTCATTCTCCGAAAGCAATTCAATTCAAGCCAGGTCGACCTCTGATTGAAGAAAAACACAAAAAAAGCTCACCTGACGCCCAAATCGAGATTCTTCAGGCCATGTTCCATACCAAATACGGTTTCGAGTCTCGAGAAAAACAGATACGATCTGTCCATAGCCTGATGAACAACAAGACCACATTCCTTCTTGCCGGAACCGGGTTTGGGAAGTCTTGCGTAGCCGAGCTGTTTCTGATGCTGTTTCCTGAGGACTCGGGAGCCTTTGTCCTAGTTTTGAATCCCACAGACGCGTTGGGTGACGATCAGGTACGTTTTGTTTTTTGTTTGAGTGTCCTCACGGTTGGTTTCACTGACAAAATGTGGTGAGTTTGCTTAGGTGAAGGAAAAGACGAAGGCGGGCTTTTCAGCCGTGAATCTGAACCGTCATAATTTTACGGACGAGGTAATACGCAACCTTGAGCGCGGTGTGTACCGTTTTGTGTATGTGGTGAGTTATGGCTGCCGCTGTACGTTGAATTCTCGTAGCTAATCATTTGCTACATTTCTAGTCACCCGAAATCTTTTTAAACAATCCTCGGTTTACAAGCATCTTTTTCTCGAAAAATTTCCAAGAGAAATTGGTCCTCAAGGTGGTTGACGAGGCCCATCTCATTTACTACTGGGGTCTGGCGAAAAGTGATAAACACAAGATTGGAATTTCTATAACTGGCCCTCAAGACAGATCGTCTTTTCGGCCTTCGTATGGAGATCTAATTGAAAGGTTTTTGGCTACCGAGCGGGTACCGATTCTCTTGATGTCAGCTACCTGCCCACCCAAGGCGATGAACGCAATTTTCGAAAATCTTCAATTACGACCGAGTGAAGTCGACATTCACAAAGCCGAGCTGACGCGCCCGGAACTTCGCTGGATTCGACTCCGAGTCCCAACAGGCATCTCCGCCATTGGATATCTTTCCAACTTTTTCGGTCCGAAAGAGAACGTACCCGACAACTCTATCCCGCCCACTCTAGTTTACTGCCACACCCAGGATGACACTTTCGCCGCAATGCAAGCTATAAACCTTGGCCGCGAAAATCCTACAGACTCGAGCTGTGGAGTTAGTACCTGCGTGCGAAGATATCACGCTACCACTGCACCCAACGATAAGTTACAGCGGGTCAAAGATTTTTCCGAAGGAAAATTCCCTATCATGACTTGTACCACCGCCCTGGGAATGGGTCAGAACTGGAAACAAGTGCGACGGGTCTTTGTTTTGGGTCGCACCAACCCTTCCGACACTATTCAAATGGTAGGCCGCGCTGGGCGTGATGGCCGAATGGGCGTTGGGTTTTTATTAGTAGAGGCTAAACGACCTGGCGGTAAAAACTCGGTGGCAGATTTCACCAATTCCACGGATCAACCTGACGACGATCGCATGGATGCTTTGGCTATAACTCCAGTCTGCTTGCGAGTGGCGCTTGCCGTCGATATGAAGTAAGTGGAACTTCGCCTCACTGCCTGATTCATTTTTGCTGACCATGGATCGTTTAGACATGGATACATCCCAATTTCTTCCGATGACCAGGTCTATCTTGATGAGCTACTGCGACAGCAAGTTGCTGGAATGGCAAAATGCTGTTGCTCAAATTGTCACTCGAGTTCAGCCCTCGGTTTTTCTCATGCCCAGCTTGAGATTACAACATCGACGTTTGATTCTTGGATTCAAAAAGATTATACTCTGCCAAACGCTACCCCGAATCTATTTAACCGAACTGTTTTGGCTCTATCTGATGAGCCTCTCAAGCCACTGGAAGTCTCTGAAGGAGACCCCATTCGTCGAGACATCCGATACATCAGGCTGTATCTCTGGCTTATAAAGGCTTTCAACAATATATTTGAATCTTATTATCCCGATCCTGAATTGTCCTATTTCACAGCAGAAGTGCTTTTCTCAAGTGACCTCGCTTGGAAGATAATTGGGAATCTCGGGCCTCTGACCAATGGCCTACCTTTGGATGCGATCTATGGAGGTGAACCACTTCCCAACACATATGTCAGGCTCGCCGAAGTAATGGACACCTGGCGACATAGCAGAAACATTTGGGCGGTTTTAGATCCCACTGAAGAAGAGTTGAATTATCATAAAAAGGCAACTCAAGATAATCTTCAATTTACTAGTCAAAAAGGCAATACTCGCAAGCGATTAACATCGTCCTAGTTTTTTATTACAACTATTCTGACAGCATGGTATCATCAGCTTTCTCATGTGCTTTATGTCCCCAGCGATATCGAGAGGGCCTTTTTTGAAGAACATCAGCCTCAAGATTATGTGCTAGCTTGCGTCTTCCAACTTCCAACACATCGAGCGGCATATCGTGGCTCTGCATATGCTGGGAATCCATTTCCGCCAAGTAGTCTTGAGCTACCCGCTGGAATTGAGCCATGGTCGCCTCGTTGATCTTGTGATCGTGTTTCTGATATATCGGTTGTAGTCCAGATCGGATCTTGAGTTGTTGAATTAGCTTGCGCAGCTGACCGGTTTTAGGCTGAATTAGTTATTCGAAATGAAACAGTTGTCTCACACACGTACAAATGGAATATTATTTGAAATGTCATTCATTAATTTTTCAATATCTGTGCCATTACCCTATAATAATATTGAAAGAAATAAAATATAATGACTATAATCAATTTTGGGATATCCAATAAGTTTGTGTAAACAGACTGACCGCGCGATTGTAAAAGAACTTCAGCCAGTAATTCATAGTTTCTAAGAAGAAGTCAGTAGCTACAAAATGACCCTGGCCGTCCCTGGTCGGAATAAGCATGCAGTGTTTGATTAAAGTGGCTAATGGTTTTGGGAGATCATGCTCCACTAAATTGATGAATCGAGTGATATGTCGAGCATAGCGAGGGAGGCCTTTCACACCATGAGCCATTAGAGACCATAATTTCCACATGGAAATACATCGTCCAATATCTCCACATTGCATAGCTTCGTCAGTCTCAACAACAGTTGCAAAATCTCGAATTCGTAATCTTAGGTTGTAGCCTTTCTTATTACCAGACACACGTGCTTTTTTTAAAGCACGTGGCGAGCAGAATTCATTATAGCATTTTTCAATCAACTTCTCCGCAACCCCTTCTTTTGAAAAGTCTGGTGGCCCTTCTTTGGATTCTTCGGTTATGATTTGCCTGTAAATTATGTACCACGCTAGCTTAAACTGTATCCCAATTATCAGTATAGAAATAAGAAATAAACTTACCTCAAACAGAAAGTGAGGGTAGCCATGTGTATCTGATGAATCGCTTGTAGGACCTGGTTAAAATCCATTTTCGCAGGTGGTTTACGTATTGAGCCTCCTAATGACTGCCACCATCGCCAGGCCCCAGTATCATTCTTCACACCAGGAGTACCCCAGTGCTCGCAAAGGATTGCTTGTGCAACATTCCACAGAGTATGAGAAGCGCCAAAGATTGTAATCAGATTTTGACCGGTATCGACATCGGAACCCGCTGGGAAGAGCTTCTTTCTCAAACTTTCAATCGCTTGACAAGTGGCCACATCACCATTAACCACCTGAATACGACTAGCACTTAATTCACGTGCTACACCGGTCTGTTGCAAAATACCGTCAAAAACATGACTAATTCCTTCGGCCGAGTTTTCTGAACAATCAAGCATCTTTAGCATATAAATCTCCGGATTGTATCGAGGGATTTCTTCGATCGGTGGTGGCTTTGAAGGGAGTTTGGTTGAAGGGCGTGGACCGTCGCCAATGATGTATTTATATAAACACTTTGTCAGCTGTGATTTAAGTGAAGCTTTCCAAGTGAGCTGTTCTTGAACGGTTGGCAAGAATGTCCATAACCGAACAGGTTTTTCTTGTGCTGTGTCGTGGTAAGCAAGGAATTTCTTCAAGTTACAGCTTTCAGACAATGGATCCATCGTTTGGGCTAAGTGAGGTGGGATCACATGGACATAGCCATATGTCCCTCGAAAAATCCATTGGTTTCCATCCACCCGTGCCTTTGACAAACGTCTCAGTAGGTCAATATTGTCGAAACAGATCATCGGAGGAAAGGTATGATTTTTCCTCATTACACGCTTCAGTTTGGCCTCATTAATGTCTCGTAATCTCCTCAATGCTTTTGTTGCTGTATCTCGTGAGCTACATAGGCCAATTGTGTGCAAATAAGAGTTCATACGTTCGGATACCCCCACCGCTAAGAAAGTCAATGCGTTATGCAGTTGAAGCCCGTTTTGTCGCCGATTTTTTGCAAAAGCAACCATAGCACAAGTGGTACCGGCAATCTGGGAGATTTAGTCAATCATCTGGACCATATTATCAAACAAAATCACTCAGTACTCACTAGGCGAGCACGAGTTTTTAGTTTATCTTGATGATTATGCTTTTTTGCATACAAAACGCCCTCTCGATGATTGATAATATCAAGATCATCCTCGGCGCCTTCTTCAGCTTGAGGTCCTTTGGTTTCGTCGTCAGAGTCATCGTTCCCAGTATTCTCTCCAGCTCTCAAAATCAATCCTCTGTCAGTGTTAGTCGCCGAGCCCAATAGCTTTGATTCGATTAAGGTATGTAAGAAATCCATGCTTTCCTTCACCTGTGTTGCACGTTTCACCATCTGATCTTCCTCAAAAAAATTTAGGGAAATGGCATCTGCCTTGTAGAACGAACCACCAGGATATTCACCCACAGGTAGGTTCTCGGAATCCACATAGAATTGAGCCTTCCGTACGTGTGTTCCAATTTGTCAGCATATAAATGCAGTGTTTATTAACCCAAACTGTAGTTACCTCGTCCAGGATGAATTGCCTCCAAATCATTCTGCCATTGGCACCCGAGGAATTGAGTAGGTCCTTGATATCGCGGACAATGTCCAATGTTGACTTTGATCCTTTGTTTGCCCAAAGACGACGCTTCACATTTAGCACAGGGTCGTTTGCGGACAAAAAAGCATGCACAAACTCCTTTGGATATATTCGTGGTTTGTGGTCCTCTAGAGTTTGACATATTGAGACTGTCATGCGGGTTATGTAAGGCCGAGACTGAATACTGCACTCTCTTTGCTTCATGTTTATCCAGGCTTTGGTGTTGAGATGATCAAAGTTTGTGTGGGGATGATCAAAGGTTGGGAAATGGCTAAATAAAGTTAAATGACTGCAACTTTAAAAAATTGCTTGCACACTCATTGGTCACACCTGTTCAGGCATTTCTTCGGATTCTCACTGGAAACCTAATGATCAAAAATTTTCATGCAGACCATTTCTAGCTCAGCTTTGCGTGGGATGGGCGACCGAGCGGCGGCCACGCACCATGCGCAATTAGGCGCGCATTTGTGGGTACTTAATTTTATGTTAGGATGCTCAAAAGTTTTGAAACTCGAATTAGATGAAATTTTCTTGCAACGCGGGTCTGACATATTAAGTCGTAGTGAGGCCCACATTTACAAGAGCTCCTTGGAGCGACTTCACTCAAGGGAAGTGGTGCTGGAAGTGACACGTGCTTGTGTAGAAGGCTCAGCAGAGGCACTCCTGAATTTCATGCAACCTTTTACGATGTTTAAAGCCCTCACAAAGGGATTTCAAGCAAAAGTGCTCGAAATTCCTGCTGGTCTCAGGCCAAGCTCGGGGTGTATGCCCTAAGCCCCTCTTCGAGAGCGGACGTGGCCGCGTCGGAAGAGGGGCTTATGTTAAGCTTATATCTCATTCATCTTTCAACTTTCAATCTGATCAATCTTCTTTCTACATATCTTAGCTTCACTTCCCCTTGTCTGTTTCCCTCCATCACGGTCCATCTTCAGTTATCGCCGTCTCTTGAACACCCGAGAAAGGTTGTTATCAAACAGTAGCTTAAAGAAATTACATAACAACCCCAATTGCAACCCATCACATTGCTAATTATGCACATTAAAACCCTAGCCAACTGAGCCCAAACCGGTTCAACAAATTAAACCCTCAGATGTCTCCATATGCCGTTATGCTCCTTTATGTATCCTTATATACAGCTCTCAAGTCAAACTAACTTCGACCCCCGGCCCTTTCTATCCTCTCTTGGCATCCCCTCTATGTCTTATTTCATCGATTGAAATGAGTTCACCAAATGAAAAACAAAGAAGAAGATATCTGTCAACCCAAACGAAATCTTGCTTACTTTTCCCCTATGCTTCGCTACCACAAAGGTTTCTACATTTTGTGGCACGATGTCCCTTGGAACAGAGCTCTTGACGTCAAGAGTGTTCATGCTAGACGACGCAGCGTAAGTGGCACATGACGAAATGATCCATGCCATCTTCAACCAATCTCTCGCGCCCCTCTTGCAGTCGTCGTCAGCGCGCGAACCAACTGCGTCTCTCTCCTAGTCTCGCGCTTCGACGGCATCATGCGTCTTAACAGTCCACCGTGGCCGTTCAAATCGCAACATCAAAAGAAATCATCAGCTCCCTTAATAAGAAACTCATGGTACATGGTACAACTAACCATCACATAGACCTTATTCATCGAATTGAAGCGGGTCCTCTGGAAGATGATGTCGAAGCTCATACCTCCGTGCCTGATAGGATAGGATATCATCGTCGCTGAAAGATACGAGCATTCCTTTGCATGATTCAACTATTTCATCGCACCCTCGACTGCACTGAAGCCTTTGTCACAGAGGATCACTGACGACGTAGTCCGTAAGCGAATGACGGCTCAGAGCCAATTCAGACTTCAGAGGTACTACGCCGGCGACGACAGTCCAGTGGTAGATTCAAGAGGACAAGATGAGAGCGACTTACAAATTTTCAATGCGTTGCTCAACACGTGCGGTGATTTCAAGGGAAAGGGAGCTTCAAAAATGTCGACAAACGACTGGCTGCTGCCAGAAACATTTCTACGAGCCACAATTTGCTTTAGGCGAAGCTTATACATTGATGACACCTTTCTTAATCACCAGAAACGAAAAACGTGAAGGGGTATCGCGATTCGCAGTACGGTGAAGAAGCCTCAACAAACTGTCTTCAACATTTATCCAAGACTCACCCAGTCATCTCACCAGACCAATTCATAAAGTCTATATACAACCGAGAAATCTTTCTGTCATTTGGCTGGCTATCGTGGGTGAACAAAAACATACTTCATTCCGGTGAGAATATCTAGGGAGCCTTACACCAACGCCTGAAGGCTCAGCTTCGCACCACTTCTTTCGAAAAAAATGTAGTGGGTGGTTTTTCACTAAATGTAGCTCTCTCAACGCTCCACTGCCAAAAAAAGCGCTACAGGCTTAAGGCAGCGGTGTGGTGCTTTGAGTTGCTCGCGTTTCCTTCGCCAATTTCTTCCCCAAGACCCGGAGCAATCAGAGTTGTACCGGAATGTTTTTTTGTAATTACAAATATATTGCGCTAAGGTAAAAAGCGTAAGCAGAAAATCAATCTTCAAGTGATTGGTGAGACAAACACACAACTGAAAAAAAGGCATGATGTAATAACCAGAAGACGCAAAAAATAAAACAAAAAATGGAAGAATGACAAAAGCGGAATTTGCAAATTGGAAATATGATGATTAATCACTTGTTTAAAAAGGGGCAAATTATGTGGCAGCGGATTCAACCAAACAAGAACAAGATATGTTGACTGGTACTCATGTGACTCTGTTCCATGCTTCTAAATTAGCCGTGTTCAAACCTAACCTGGTTGCCAAAATAACTGGTACACCCATTTTTTGTGGTAAATTTGTGTATCAAGTTGACATTTATTGACAGCTGTTGACAGCTCCCAGCCCCAAAAATTAACCAAGTGTACTGGGTTTTTTGGCAACCCAGTGTGGTCTGAACACAGCTATGTTAGATTGTGGGTCTCATACCTGTTGTGTGCATTGGTTGTATCATGTGGGCAATGCCTCAAGATGGCATCTTGATACATTGGCTGAAACACAACAAAACAAATGGTAATTCAAATTTACTGTGCTAATTGTGCACAAAAATAATGGATTGCCTGGTTTTGATTTACTGCACACCCTTTAGTAAAAAGAGGCACACTGAATTACACATGCAACTTTTACATCATGGTGAGAAATTTTCCCACCATGTGTGTATGTATAATAAGACATTACATTGGGTATTTGATTGGAATTCTTTGGAGTTGATGGCAGTCTCTGGCCTGCCCATAAATAATAGCTGGTGGCTGTTATTAGACATGTATTATGAATCTAAATGGCTTCAATAATTTGTAATTCAAGGAGAAACAAACAGAAGATGCAACAGTACACTGTGTGATGTCAAATACCAGTACCAATGTGTTTTACTGCAAATGTGACACAATGCTCAATTGAGCTTCTAGATATTGTTGCTGAGTATCCACAATGCCAATTTGAGTATTGTGACTTTGTTGAGGTAGCAACAAATTCACAACTCAATGCAATCTCTTGCATTGTGACTTACACATTGCCTGAGGTGATGTGATTAGTAATTGAATCACCCTTTTTACATCCAAGGACAAAAGGAAGTGTCCCACAATGACATAGGGACCATAACTTGTACTGTCTTTTATATACCATCAAGATAACAATTCTCTGTTTTTTTTTCGGAAAGAAAGCCCAGACTGCATGACTGTGTGCATCACTTGGTATTCACATGAACTTGACTTTTGTGTGTGTAATTCCGCACTACAGTACACACTCTTAAGTGTTTCACCTCATGCATTTCTGTTTTTTCTTGCTTGCTCTTGCCTGTCTCCTCACTGCCGGAAAAGCTGCCTTGGATTGGAAAATCTGAGGTATCCTTGGATCCACATTCCCTTGGAGTGTGTTTCTGAGTAAATAATCTAAGACTTTCTTTGGCCCCAGATATTGCCTTGGATCTATTACTAAGACACCATGTCTGAGTCTATTGCCATCCAAGTATCCCTTAGATTTTCCAATCCAAGGCAGCTTTATTGACAGTGCTATAAGTCTACTTATTGTTGATTTCATGTAATTTCTCTTAGATAAGTTGTTATGCTCATTCTTACCCACATTATGTCCTCCCTCTGACACATCAAGACCTTCCAAAGAGGTTAAACCCTACTTTAGCAGCAAAACACCCAGTTTTCTTATTTTCCCACTTGACATGTAGCCCATATAAACATATTTTGTGTTTGTACCAAGTTTTAGGCATTGAAAAACCCAAGTTGTGGCAGTGCAGTTACCCACATTTTTTCAATTTCAATCAACCTATTTCAAGTCTGAACTGCTACACAACTACAATATTGCCCTGGATATTTAATTGAGAAATGATCAATTGATCTTCACAGATGATTGAAATGAAGTGAATACAACACCCAGGAGTGAACTCATTGTCAACTTAAACATTAGTCTACTTGCTTGGCCCTGCCACCTAGAGGATACTGCAGCACCTGTCTCTAGTATCCACTGAAACAAGATGTAAGAGGACAGAACAGCCCATTACCGTATTTTTGTTGTTTTTCTATATATCTTTTGACCTCTTTTAGCTTACAGGAATTTTGATTTTGAGTGTTGCAACCTTACAAAAAATTGAAGCTTTGTAAGCTTGAAAGCTTTGAGTCACTTGCTCTTTATGTTTTTAGAATGCAACCAATACTGCAAGCGCTGTGCAGTATATTGCAGTTGTGTAGTGGTTTTGGGTGCTGCAATGGCACCACTATATATTGTGGTGCCAGCGCTGCGCAACCCAGCCTTGAAAAACTCAGTTCTTGGGAGAAACGCACTGCAATTGTGGTTTAACTTTTCTATACTGCTACATAGCGAAGTGAAAGCCCTTACCCAGGAGTGCTTTAAACCCTTGCGCACCTCAACTAAATTCTCTCCAAGCTTAAATTCCCAGTGTAAAGAAAAAGAAGAAAATCAATTTATTCCTTCCCTTTGTTTATAATTTCCAAAAAAATGAAAAGTTTTGATGGTTATTCAGTGCAATATTGTGCATATTGCACAGTTTATGCAATATTTCCGCAATGTTGTTGTGGCATTGCGCAGCGCACAATATTGTGCAAATATTGCACTCCTACCGCTTTACAATGTTGAGTTAGAAAAAAAGACCCCAATTGTGGAGTGTTTGCGGAGTGTAATATTGTGCTGACTACGCCACACAATGGAAAAAGGTCAAAATCCATTGTGTTGTGTAGCACTTGCGGTGTTGATGCAACCCAAATTAAAATAGCTGTGCAAGGAATTTTCTATGTTTTCTGAGGTTTCAAAACTCAGTAGTGAATTGTGTACAGTCTGCTCCAAGAGGTTCACATAATCATTAAAATTCTGGAGCTGAACTGGGGCAATCCTTAATATTCACATTTTCCAATGAATCCAATCAATTCCTCTAGATTTTGGAAACAACTTACCTTGAACCAATCTATATAATACTATCAACACATAATTATAATCACAAGAAAATAAAAATGTAACAATCCACCTTTTACACTTTCAAAATAAATCCCTTGGGTTGAGGAACCTGAGCCTTTATGAAATTCAGATTCTTGGACAGATCTTCTGATCTTTTGGCAGTGCAAATCTCAATTCATAGACTTACATCTTTTCCAAAACCAGTAAGTCTTGGACAGAAACCTTAGAAGATATCACATAAAGCTCACAATTTCTGCCCAATACCTTTGATATTTAGTCTGATTATTTTTTTATCCAAAAGCCATGCTCAACAATCTTTGAAAAAATGCTGGAGCCATAGCAGTGAAAATGTAAAGGCTTTTCTTGCCTCACTGCCTTGCTGTCCCCTACCCATTTGTGGAGATGCACCATCAATCTCTCAATGAAATTTTCAGAGCCAAGCTTAATCCTATTATGACCGGGAATGGGATCTTGTGACATGGGACAGACAGAGAGGGATGGTGGGTACTATCTGGTATAGTTATTGTAGCATAGAGAAGAGAGCAATATAGAAAGTCTGCTCTACAAGAGTGGGACTTGGTTGGCTCTCTTTCACAGGTTGTGGCACTTCTGTAACCAGTGTCAGAGATCATTACAAATCCCTGGTGTTCTGGACAAAAGTATGGTTACTAATGTTGTAAGTCAATTCTGGTGTAAAACAATACAAAAAATATACAAGATGATGGGAAAGCACACAAAGCTTCAACACTTGTTGTTTCACATTCTACAGACCCCTTGTGACCTATAGGTACTTTTCTATATTTTCTTACTTTTCTAAACTCAGCAGTAAATTTGCAATCTAGTGTAGAGTCACAAGAGATGGATAAATTGTTGGATATCTGATATATTCTGTCCTATATGTACACTTCATAGGGAGCGTAACCGTATCAGTCTTTTTCTGAGACTAACTCGCTCTGAGACTATCCTGAGACAAACAAAAAAGTAAACCGGATGGTGGCTTTTTGTACACTGTCTGTACAGGCTGGTGGCAACTGGTACATATGTATGAAGACTTGAACAAATTCATCATTAAGACTTCAAAGAAGCTGTTAACACTTTGATAACCTCATCAAGAATCAAGAACCTTTGTCGAGTCATCCATGTGCACCTTATATCTATACCTTCAGACTCACTCCAATCCCCCTGAAACATTGTCAAGGGGGTTCTATCGCTACAACCACTTACATATCAAAGTATTGATAATGAAGCAACTTACAAAACAACAAAATGTTATTGGAACAAGCTACTTTGAATGAAAGTAGCAAGCAAAACCGATACAAGAAAAACAATGCATTGTCATCGGAGCGAGATACTTTGATGTAAGAGGTTTCTATCTGTTGCGTTGTCTTGATTTCTTCAAAAACGACTCAGTCGCCATCTTTTCAAACTGTCTCTTTGTATGTATAATCTTCACGAAAAGCACTCGATATCACTTCTTTTCAACCAACCTAAAATGCTTCCAACTTCTGCTTTTCAAGACATCTCATTTTGCATTTTATCAACTCGATCGTCTTTTGTATGTATTATTTTTGACCAATGAAATTGACCAATGGATGTCTAGATGTTCTGTAGTTGGTGGAAGGCTTATAAAGAGAAGGAAGCGCCATGCAAAAAAAAACGCGCCACACAGACCGGGATTGAACTATACCTGTATGTCTCACTGCTTCTCTCAGGTAGTCTCAGAGAAAGACTGATACCGCATCTCTCCCACTTCATACAGCTAATGTTGTCAGCGCATATAAGCCATTCCAGGTTGCCTTCTCAGTGTTAGGCATGATTGTCTCACTGGGACATGTGCACTAATTAGCTTATAGCCTTGATAAAATAATCTTGCTACCTTGATTCAATGTAATGCTCAAAAACCCATGTGATACCGGAACTTCCTTTTTCACCATTGGAATGATCTCCAGAAGCATGTTGATAACAACAGGTTATTATTGGTGGCCCGTAAGAGCACCCTCCTAGACCAAGGGATCAGGTTGTGGGTTCAAGTCCTGCAGGACATTCAAATATAAATAAAATGTCAGAGTTGGAGTTGCACATGCTGGCACTTGCTCTGCCTGTGGCCCTGGGCACATCAGTTGATGCAATGATACCCCCAGGATTTGATTTATGCACTCTTGCAAGTCAAATCCTGGGTGGACTATTGCACATAGGGATCTGTATTTTTGACTCTTGTAAATCAAATCCTGGGGATACTATTGCATATAGGGATCTGTCAACTCTCTGTGCCCACAGCCAAAGCAAGTGCTGGTATGTACAACTTCAACTCTGACATTGTCTCCAGAGTACCTCAGCTTGATTCAAACAATATATTAAACAAATAGATCAATAAGCACCTAAAACAAAAAAAGCAAAGTATCACAACACTTGAAAACATCTTTACCTTGTCTTGATTATGGACCACTAACAATATATAAGTTTGCAAAAAAAACAATAAGAACATTCCAACTCACATACTTCTTTCCTTTCCCATGCCTTCCTTTCAATAAACGAACAAACTCAAACAAAGAAAAAAAATCATAAAAGAACGACAAAAAAACAACACACAATACAATTCAATGCAGAAAATAAGGTAGGAAAGGAAAAGAAAGTTAAGCCTTAAATAGAATCTAAACTAGGTCTAAAAGATATTACTTCCATTACTGTTCTTCCATCCCTTTTACATAACAAAACCGCTTTATCATCTCTCAATACAATCCGCCAAACTGCTTCACAAGGCTCTGCTAATTCTCTGATAAATGATCCAGTCTGAAAAAAAAGCGTGATACATCGAAAAGAAAATTTGAAACAATCAGGATTTGGCTCAAAGGACAAGTGCCCGAGACAAAAGAAAAAAAACTGACCTTGAAGTCCCATAATTTGACTCGCCCATCATTTCCACCTGTGACCACGAACCGATCATCAAATTGCAAACAGGTCACCGAGTTATCATGAGCACATAACCTATGTAAACATTCAAAACTCTCCAAACTGAACACCACTACTCTGCCGTCCGAGCCGCCAGTGACCAACACGTTTGAGGGTCCATTGATCTGAACTTGTCCCACTAATGCCGTGTGACCTTGTAAAAGTGCAAGGAGTTCACCCGTCTCGGCTGACCAGATACATACTGTAGAGTCCATTGAACCTGATGCGATTCGAGTGCCATCGAATGCTACTGCATAGATCTGGTGATAGTGTCCTCTTAATAACTTCAAGCATTCGCCCTATCATTTACATCACAACTTCAATTTCTTTTTCTCTGCTCCCAAGAGGAAGAGAGGGGAAAAGGGAGGGTACTCACAGTATCAACATCCCATAATCGACATGTATTATCGTAACTTCCACTGACTGCTCTATTGCCATGAACTTCAACGGCTCGTACACTGAGCGTATGTCCAACCAAGAGGTGTTTCTGAACCCCTTGCTCTATATCCCATACTCTCAGTGTTGAATCTCTCGATCCTGAAATCGCAATTGGTCTACCTTCTAAGACTTTCATACATCTAATGGTCGAGCTATGCCCCGCTAGAACATGCAAGCATCGACTGTTTCAAACTAGAGTCAATAATCGTTTCAGTAAAACAAAGATTGAAAGTATGACTAACCCCGTCTCAACTTCCCATACTCTTACATCTCTATCGCACCCACCGCTGACCACCAAGCTCCTCTTCTGTCCCCAGCCTCTGGAGATTCCACAAGCAGATGATTGCTGTAGGTTGCCGGCTGATGGACCCCCAGCACCCAACCCCATTCCACCAATGACTTCGCCAGATTGATGATGTAAGCCCGCGCTTGCAGGCCCCTGTCTGAAGTTATCATCGAGGTAATGAGGGGTCATCAATGAACCGAATGATCGACGCCGAGATGAATGATTGAACTGATGTGAACTTGAGGTGGTAGCACTACTGATGGACGAAGATCGATCGGAAGGAATTGAGATCGGAGCAGGCATTGATCGTCCGGCTCTCATTGGAACTGATGTAACAGTGGTTGTTTCCTCGGATGTACCGAGTAAACTAGCTTGAAGGTTTCGATGGGTCGTTTCAACGCCGTTGTTCTCTGGTTGGACAAAAATTGGAAAAGGTGTTGGGTAAGCTGATGTGCCATCATCTGGAGCTATCTCTGCGGATACAGGTGGGAATATAGTAGCGCTGTTGGTAACTGTTCTTTGTTGACTTCTAGATCGTGCTCGACGTGTTGGCAAGTCCCAACTGGAGTTTGATACCCCTAAACCGCCCTTGGCCCGCATCATACTCGCGCCTCCGCCGTTTCCGCGAGAACCGCTCGAGAAATGATGATCTGACGCAATCCATTCCGAACCAGATGCACTTGAACGCTCATTACTTGTATTTATTTCCGAAACATCTACCCCTTTACCCTTTTTACTCGATTTCGGAATCGGATCCCTGCGATCTCTGATTCCACCCTTGCTCACCAACGCAAGAGACCAAACTCCGAGTTCATGACCTGCCAACATTCTGACGAACTCTCCCGTCCGGGCATCAAAGACATGGATCTTACTCGTAGCCATGCCCACCACAATCCAATCATCATCGAAACAAAGTGAGGTGACTACCCATTCATTTCCATCGTAATTCTGCGAAGTCTGCATTGTGATAAGGTCCCCAGGGCCCCTGAGCCAATTTGATTCAGTGAGATATGCCCGCTTGAAGTATGATTTGTAAGAAAAAGGCGGACGAGGTGAATACTCAGTTTCTTCGACCATCGAAGAAGATGCACTGTTCGGAGGATGCATTTCGAGCGCATTGGCTGTGGTAGGTGTATTGGCGAGTGAATTGAGTTGATCGGGATGAGTTGAGCTAGGCGTGCTATTAGAGGCATCATCAAACTGGTGGTGGGGTAGATCAGGAGGATATGGACGAGAAGCTTCAAATGGGCTTGAGTATGCAGGATTGGGGAGACTGAGATTGAGACCGATGAGTGGCATTGAGTGAGGACGAGTCCTACGAGGTGAAGTCGCATCAGTGGGGGCAATCATGCCAGGTTCAGGTGAGGTGGCATTGATGACTCGATGGGGCTGTCTGATCATTGGCAAATTGATTACAGCTGAGAACGGGCTTTCACCTTGACTAGATTCGATACCAAGAGCAGTGAGATGATCGTGTGATGTGGTTTGAGGGTTTTCTGGCGCCCCGCTTGGCATCCTGCTCATCATCCCACTCCTGGTACCTTGCTGCGGATCAGAACCGTCAAGCCTGGGTGAAGTGATGCGATCATGGTAGCTGCTGCGCCTAGAGAATGGGAACGTAGGGATTTGGTGAGGGTTTGAGAGATACGGCGTCGAAAGTTGATCAGGATGAGATTCTGGGTCGAGGGTGTAAGGCAAGTTGGATGTCAGTGCATGTTCCGGATTTGCAAAGCGACCATTGTATCCGTGATCGAGTGCCTCGGTTTCTACGCCAAGACCAGTGGTGACAGGATTTGTGTTGCGGATGAGTCCTAGAGAGGTAGATGAAGTGGCATTGGGACCGTTGATAAGCTGATCGAGATCCAATGTACGGAATGGACTTGTTTGAGCGTTGGAAGATTGATGTACTGTTGAAGAAGACGGATCTTGATTGTTGGCTGCTCTTTGGGCAGCTTGATCATGTTTGAGAGCCTTCTTCCTTCGTCTACGCTCCTCCACACCAGCTCGATAAGTTTCTACACGACCTTTGCGCTCCTTTTCCATGCGTTCACTGAGACTGATAGGAGCATTCCGATTATTGAAGCCACGTCTCCAACACATTCCTTTCCAAGTGGCTTCATCACTGACTAATGATCTCCAAAAACGACTGACCATACCAGCTCGCATTAAGGTCTTTGGATCATCAACAAAGCTGAGAATATGAAGAGAGATTTCGATGGGTAACTCTCTTAAAAAGTCACGCTTCAGCCTTGGTAGAATCTTACCAGAGAGTGTGGTGAGTTCATTGAGATTGAGAATAGGTAAGAGTGAGTTGAGGAATTTGGTTCTACTACCAAGAGATAAGGAACTGAATGCTTCGATTAAGGTAAGTGAGTCATCGAGACGTAAGGATGGAATTCGTTGAGGATGAGTAGCGAGATGAGACCAATCTTTGTCTGTTTGAGGTTGAGGTGAAGGTGCTGGAGTAGGAGGAGAGATAGTTCGATTTGGAGGCGGATGTAAGATCGAAGTGGTTGAGTTAGACGAGAATGCCTTTGGAGGTGTACCTTCAGGAGTGAGAGCTGCTAATGAGAGTGAAGGGTGATTGAGAGAGATTGAGTGCATATGATTTGAAAGTTGTTGAAGTTGAAGTTGATTAGAAGATGTACTTGAAGTACTTGAAGCTGATGAATGTTTATTGATTGATGATGAACTGATTGATTGATGAATAGACATGATGATGATGAATGATGATGAGAATGAGAATTGTTGAGAATGAGAATAGTTTGAGTGATGGATGATGATGGTAATGGTAATCAAATTAAAGTGAAATGGTCAACAGCTTTAAATCGTTTCAAATTTAAAATTGAGTTGCTATCGACGGATTACGTAATTTCAAGCCAAAATACGCTGATCCAGTGCACGATCAGCATTCCAATCATAATATCAATTTCCAAGGTCATGTTCAGAAAAATGTCATTGACAATTCTGGTGGAAGGGAATGTATGCTGAATCTCCATAAATCCCAAGAGCATGGATAGCTCAACTTGTCTTCTATTCATTTATAGAAAAAGCTGAACAATGTTTTATGACACATCTCTAAAAATCTTACACCATAAGCGTGATGTTGTGAGCCACACTACCAATTATTCGAAGCAATCAAAGTCACTGGTGCTCAACTCTGTTTTCATTTGATAAATATACCATGTATTAGGAACCTCTTTCTCTCCAAGCAGATCAACATCAGAAAAAGTTGAATTGTTTTTGGATGGAAATATGTAACCATCTCAGCGTCTTGATGTGGGTTTATATAATTTTCTGAACTCTACAAGCTGTCACCCTTTCTGCTAGTAAAAAACACTTGATAAGACTCCTCGTGGCTTCGATAAATAGAGGTGAAGGGGGCACCTAATGGGCTTCAGCAATGGACCTTTGAGGAATACTCGTTCAGAATGCTCTTTTGTGGACCCGGACGCCGCATATAGCATGAACTCCGAAAATAACAGACCGCGACTAGCCCGCGCTCGTCCGGGACGGTCTGAATCTCTTGTCCGCTCAGCTGACTCAGCAACAACGACGAGAGAAAGATAAAGCCGACGTTTTTCAGTCACCCTCCATTGAACGAAGTTAGAGTTCTAGAGTAACACTCCTAATACCAGGACAAACTTCTCGACATTACCAAAAAATTGTATCCGTTCAAACTCATGCGAGCCTACATCTACGAGGAGGTGATTTTTGATATCCTTCATACCTGCAGCACATTCGCATCTTTCCTCCTGATATCGCATTTTCCGATAAGGCTTTATGAGAGCTAATTCATTTTATTCAATATACTTGTTTAATTTTACCCAGTCTTCGGAAGACCAAAGAGCCGAACATGACTCAAAAGTTACGATCACTTCTGATGGCTTGAAAGATTTAGGCGTGTTACATTGGCATACAGAAGAACTTGATGAGGTCGATAAGTTGGCAGCCGAACGAGGTTACAGAAACAGAGACCAAATCATCGTTAGTAAGGAAGCCATGGTTCGTGATTTCTCATTCCCAGCTTCGCATGTATGAATGAAGATGCTCACCTATTTTTTCCGTCTGCTAATCAGGGGGATATATATTTGACAAAGATCAACTCTTTCTTCGAAGAGCATCTCCATGAAGGTGAGACAGCTCTCAGTTTTTCTACACCACTGGCCCACCAATCAACTCTAGCGTATCTCCAACGCCACCCGAGTGTCGTCCTTCCGTAACTTTATGGTGTACACCTATCTTGCGTTGCTCCTTACTAATACGAGCTCGCTCTTCTGATGAACATAGATGAAGAGATCCGATGGATTATCGATGGAACCGGCTACTTTGATGTTCGAGGTAACCTACAATCTTTTATAACTCATCTATCTCAGACAATTCTCAATTGATTTGATCACTCTTTGACTCCGTAAACGCCAAAAACAAAAAGACAAGAGTGATCAAAATTGGATCAGAATTCAAGTTAGCAAAGGCGATCTACTAGTTCTACCTCCAGGTAAACTTTCATGTGATTCTACTACAAACTATGATCCTAAGCTTACTCTCATGGTCTTCTATCAGGTATATATCACCGCTTCACAGTCGATACCAAAGACTATATCAAAGCCATGCGCCTTTTCAAGGTGCTGTCATTTTCTTTTCTTTTGACATTTCAATTCCCACTCCGAAGCCTTTTCTCTGAATGGACGCTATGTTTGACCATCTCATAGGATGAGCCAAAATGGGTACCTTATAACCGGAACACTGAAACCGAGAAGAACCCTTACCGACAAGTAAGCTATACTTCAGATCATTTCTCACATCTATTCTAGAATCATTTTGCTTCACCTTGCTTAGGCATTGACTTCCATTCTACATTCCAGGCCTACGTGGATACATTTGTAGGCGGGAATGTCCTACCTGTTCCCACAATTGTCTGATCCCTGAGCAAGATACCGTTGGATGAGTACAAGCGCTTTCTCATATGTGACTTGCCTATTGTTGTACAGTTTGCGCTTAAAGGCAGTTTTTCACAATATATACCGATGTGTTCATAGGGCAGTCTTTCTTTCAATAAATATATATGTGTGTGTTTATACGGCAGTCTTGCATCACATATGTGCGCGTCTTTATAACGCTTTCTCTCAACGGATATATATGTGCGTGTGGACTGGAAGGCTTCAAGCATATAAGAATTCAGATGCCACAACATGAATTAATGCCAAACTATCAATTATAAAAACATCGCACAGTGGGACATATCCGCGGGAGGAGTTCAGTGTTACAAAGTTGTGAGTACTTTGGCCTCCCAGTAGAGTAGGAAGTTGAAGGTTTTTATGCACAATTGTCTTCCAGACAGTTGTAATGTATTTTACTTCATCTTCAACTCTTGGGAAGAATACAAACCTTTGGCATTCTTTTTTTGCCTAATAGAAGGTTTTTTTTAAAAAGAGTTTCAAATCCTTTTTAACAGTCAAATCCTCTCCCTTCTTAATTTCTCCCACTACAAAGAATTCATGGAAAAAAAAGTCACAAATTAAAAATCTTTCTTTATTAATTAGTAAATTATCCTTCCCCTCTTTCTCAAAAACAAAACAAAAAAATTACAATACAAGATATCAAATATGTTTGTTTCTTCACTCAAACTTTTTTTACTCCTAAATTAATTTACTATAATCTCCTTCACAAAAATAAACTTCAATCTAATCCCACATCTTCACAAAGTTGAAACCTCCATACAAGCATTAAGAATAAGAAGGTGAAAGAAACATCAGGGTAATCCTCTAAAGAAAGGAAATAAGAAAAGGAAAAGGAATTCTTTCGAGCAAGATCGTAATAACCTATGAGGTACGGATGGTGCGTAGAAAGAAGATATAGAGAAAACAACAAGAAGACTCCTGTTACAGACATATGTGCAACATCTCACAACAACATGAACCAAAAGGGACGAAAAGCACAGACAAACAACCCAAAGAAGAATGACAATACGAAGAAAACAAAGGTACAGCAACCCCAACACCGATTTGATGTAGAAAGGTACACATTTTAGGGACATGATCTAGGAAAAAGTTGTAAGAGAAAGATTAAGATGGCTGTCGACTGATCGACATCAAAGAGAATAGTTTCGAGATTTTTGATGTCATGACGAGTGTTTTCTTGGCCATGTGCACGACTTAGATCACTCTGCCTTCATTGGTATTCAAGTATCGGATGATGTTGACGGTTTGATGATATTGCACAACATTAATACAGCTGAAAGACCATTCAACTTGCCAATATGAGAGGATCGTTTTACACCTGATGCATAGTGTTCCAAAACGACTAAACAAGACCAATGAGCAGATCAGCTAACCTACGACCGTCATCTCTTCCAAAATTCAACTGGTGGTGGTCACGAGATAGTAGAAGAACTTACCGCATCTTCCAGGAGCTTATCGATATCAAAGCCACCAGGGATAAGGTCCAGTCCGCTTCCACCTGGAGTGCTGTTCATTTGTGAGGCTGAATCTTTTACATTCTCATTACGACTCTCGGCTGTAGAGTTGTTTTCATTTGTGGAATCGCGTATACCGTAAACACCGTTCAACGAGCGAAGATCGAGGGCAGAAGCATTTATTTGACTTGAATCTCCCATTGTCATCCCACTCGAGGTCGGACCGGATGGTTGATGAGGATTGAAAGCAAGGTTGGTAAACCCATTTCCGGTAGGTTTGGAGAGAGCTGCGGGCGACGATGCGCATCCTGCTCCTAATCCATTCCCGCTGCTCAAAGGACCTGGAAAGAAGCGAAATCGACGAAGACACCAAAAGTCAGATATGTCTTGATTACGTTCTGAAAGAGCCAGTTACATACCAGAAGATCGCAAGGCAGATGGATGGTTTGCATCCATAGCTGGTGGATTATGATGTGGAGTAGCCATATTGGCGGTGGCATGCTGAGAGGCACTGGGAGTCGATGCAGGGGTAGGCGCGTTGGGCGTATTTGCCTTAGGCGGTTCACCGTTTGCTTTTGTAGAGGGGGTACCATAGACAGATCTTTCGGGTTGATTATTCACTTGGCCATCGCCTTCAATCCCGGTCTGATTTTCGTTACGACCAGTAATTCCGTGTAACGTATCCACAGTACGCCGTGCTTCTGACGCCGAAATTCCGTTGGCGCTCTGTATAGATGACGTCATCAGATAACTTGACAATACAAACTCAAAAAGACGGTTGAATTACCATGCCAGAGCCCACTCGAATCCTAGGACTTGGGGCGGGTGAAGGAGCATCGAGCGGCTTTGACCGCTTTCGGCTAGATGGTGAAGGCCAGTTAGTGTCAGAAACGTTAGCTGGTGGGGTTTCGTTTATGTTCTGGGCCGGCGTCAACGGTCGTTTTCTTCCATTTTGAGCCCCGTTGAACATCTGATGAGAGTTAACCGCTGATGGCATTGCACTTGGACTCTGGGAGGGTCCAACAAGATTCCCCGGAGAAGTTTGACCACTGGATAACCAAAAAGAATAAGAACAACATTATATTAACTAGAACTCAGCCAAACAAGAAAAGCCTAATGTGAGCTAAGGGCCAGAGGCTCACAGTGACATAGCGGGTTGCTGCAGCTGAGCTGCTCGGACAGCTCCTAACTGACGTTCTTGTTGCTGTTGCAGGGAGAGCTGGTGAATATCGCGATGAATACTGGGATGGTTAGGTAGTATTCTTGGGTCGGCCAGAGGTGAATATGGAATGCCTCGTGGATTCGAAAGTACTCTGTGGAGCTGTGCGGCGTGATGCATTGTAACTAAATTACTCAATTGGGCCGTATATCGTTCTCTCTCTTCAAGCGTCAAGGACGGAATTTCTCGTCCTGACAGTCCAGCGCTGCACAACGCCTGGCGGGTCATGGCCTCGTTGTCCGTCAAAGGTCGGGGTTGGAAAGAAGCTGGATGGGGTGGAGGAGCCATCATGTGACTGGCTGGCTGGCGTTGCGGTTGGCCATTAGGTGGAGCGTTTGATGACAATGATTGGTGCTGTTGCTGTTGGTGTAGCTGGTGTGCGTGTTGATGTGCTTGGTTTTGTTGGAGCGCTTGGGGCTGTTGCTGCTGATGGCGTTGCGGTTGCAGAAGCTGATAATGCGTTTGGGAATTGGGATGCTGGAGTTGTTGCGATTGTTGAATTTGTAGTGAACGAGCGGTGGTGGCAGGTGAAGTGAGATGCGAGGATGGGCTATTTCCAGAAGTTGTTCTCAGCCTTGTGACCTGCGTCAAAAAAAAGATGAAAAGGTCAATAAGGTGATCAAAGTAGTAAACGTGAAGTGTCAATCAGATACAAACCGCGGGACGATGGGCAATATTAATTGAATCCGAGTGATTCGGAGGACATGGACGAGGGACCTTGGGACTAGTGTTAGAGCAAGTATTGGTAGAAGTCGAAGATGAGATTGTGACAAGATCGGAGTCCGGGTTGCTATTTGGATCTGGTGGGCTCCGATGTGTAGATCGCTCAGCCGTAGGTAACTTGATCAGCCCAGCGTTACGCTGCTGAGTTGATCCGGAGGCACTCTCGGACCTGGACGCTTTCGTCTATTGAACGTCATCATCACTGATCAGGATGCAGGTCGCCATGTCACGAAAAGATGATGCAGAAAACTGAGACGTACAATTTGCGAGTAAAGATTGGCATCATGGTGTCCGCTACTGCCTGAGCTGGCGAGAAAGACTTCCCAAAAGATGGTCCACCATTCATAAAGCAACCCTTGTGGAGTGTTCAAAAGCTTATTACTACCCCATGCTGAAGATTTGTCCATACCAGATTCTTGAATGAGCTTCTCAGCAGTACCGTGGAATCCTCGTTTACAGAGATAATCATGAATGTAGCTGTTGAGTGAGTAGTCACCCTGCCAGACTCCTTGATCCAGTGCCTGTGATTGTGAAGTGCGAGGGAAGAGGAGAAGAGGTGGTGATGAAGACTGAGAAGGCGTAGATTGAGAAGAGAGGTGATTGTTGATGCCGAATAATTTCTGAGGTAAGTCGGGCGAACTAGAATTTGTTGATGGCATCATGATAGGTGAGTTTGTTTGATGAGTCGATGATCTCATGAAAGATGTTCGGTATCGAGAAGTAGAATGTGATCGAATGGAAGTGGAGAATGGAGATCAGAGAATAGTGATTGTGAGATGGGTATCTTTCGAATCTTGATATTGGTAAAGAAGATGACTTAATAAACCATAAAAGTGAATAGTTGAAGCTCCTGATGGATTGAAATCAAGAGATTACGTATTCAATTGAAATGATTGGTAAAGCGAAGAGATAGGTAAAGTTGAGATGAAAAGTTGATAAAGTGAGATGGTTGTAAATATCTAGTATGTATTACGTATTACAAGATTTGTAAGGTACTTTATAATCGGTTGTGGTGTATTGATCTGAGACTGTAGTAAAGTGAAGTGATAATAACGCTTTTCATACAAGTTAAATGGATTAGTTTGTCTGATACAAAAGTTGATGATGATCTGGAGTGTTTTGATGAGATGGCGATAATTTGTAAAAGGAGGTTTAAAGAATTCATTCATAAATGTTAACACTCACACTTCTCAAATCAAAATCAAAATTAAAGAAATATTAGGAGTAATCACCAAAGATTCTATCAGAAGATCTGTACCTGAATCTCATCCAAACTGTAAAACCAGAGAGGACGATCGTCGGTTTGATTTCAACTTGTCGAAACCTATCGCACTTGATTTCTTGATCTGTTGTAAGATACGATGGATTCTGTGAGGTCACTCAGTACCAAACTGGATAATCACCCGATCTTGTTCAGAAAGATTATCTATTATCGCATTCGATCACTCGATCGGTCGAACTAATCGTGGATTGAGATGGTTTAACTTCTTGGAACTCTTGAATACGGAATGATGGTGAGGTAGTGTGTAGGCTAATGTTATGTAATGATGATAAATTTGATTGGATGGTGAAATGATGAGTGTTGAAGTGAAATCAAGATATGTAATCAGCGAAAAGTGGGATTAGTTTTTAAGAACGCGTTGCGCGTGTCTGACAGTCCTTGTGTTGCAGATCAATCGGTACAACTCTGAAGTTTACTTTTTAAAAAGATTGGTGTCACAGCTATTGAATGATCGGAGTGGCGGATAAATTTTCTAAGAGGCGAAAGAAGGCTTGCTGATGGTGGTGCTGGTTTAAAAAGAGTAAAGTTCTCAAAAAGAAAGCCCTCGAAGATTGAGCGGTTAAATTGAATGTATGCCAAAACCTAAAGAATGAATCGTTAATGATTTAATTTGATGATACCCTCTCGTCTCTTCTTTTGATTTGTACTCACAAGTCACCGGGATATGGTACTGATGAGGGCGTTGATGAGATACAAATCAACTTGCTTGATAAATGAAAATAGAAGTTTGAGATTCTTTGAAAACAAGAAAGAGATAAAGTATGATATTACAGGGTATTACTATGCAAGTCTGAAGTCTGAATTGATGTTTTAACTTAAGACTAATTTCGTTGAGAAAAGAAAAGCTATCAATGACTTATTTTAGATTGGGGGTGGTGAATTTTTTATTCATGAAGTGAGGAGGGAACTTTGAAGAAGACATAACGATGTTGATTGTAAGATTGGTTTTTTTTGGTAATCACCAGCAATCTCAAGACGAAGAGCAACCACAGCAACCACTCTCACAAAACTTCAGCTGCTTCCCGCGACCTGTCACCCAAGTGCAACAGAGTACAACATGTCATCCATGCTGTATTCCATTTGTACTTACATATTAAAGCCATTCCCAACAAACTTCACAAGGACCCAAATGTCGGGATTTGGCCTTGGAGATTATCTATGTTTGTGCCAGCAGTGGTTTGTGCAGAAAACGGTTGGAATTTGCCATATTTGCTCCAATGTTTGTATTGGAAGATGTCAGAATTTGAGCTCAACTTTGGGCAAAAAGTTGACAAAAGTGACATAAAAGGCAAAAGTTGTTGAGTTACAGCTGTTCCCAAAAAGTTTGCTTTCTTATTTTTTTCAAAATCACTTCTATTATGCATCAGGACCTATGAAGACCCATAGCCATTTGTCCCACCCCCAAGAGCCTCTCTCAATGCTCACAGTACACCAGTGAGCCTACTAGCATCTATAGGGTAGTAGATTTGATAAAAAGGTTGTAGATGGTCCAATAACTTCTACTAAAGTTGTGTAGATCAAAATCTACAAGTATGAATGGTTAGACACTGGGGTGTAAGAGCTTTACTTGGAATGAAGAAGTAAAGACTTGAGTTGGATGACCTTTGAACAAAGGATTTTGCCCAGGGATTTTGGTTTGATCATTGTTCTTTACAATAAGTAGAAATAGGAGCAACTGATGTGCAAGCCATTCTCAATCCTAAATTGATCCTCTTCTTGTTGGAAGAAGGGTCAAAGAAGGTGGTGTCAAAGTCTATTATAACACCAGGAACTTTGCACTCTGACTAATAGAGACTTCCCTGTAGAGCTAGAATCTCTTATATCAGATGAATTCCAAATTTGATAAAAGTAGCACTTCAGGACTACTTCCTTACAAGTAATTCCACCAAATGGATATGACAAAAATTACTGATTATGGAATCTAATCAGAAACAAAGTTGAATGAGCACACAAAATAAGGGAGAAGACAGAAGGTTTGAGTTTCAAGGTTTGTAGACTCAGGCCTTTAATGTTTGGTATTTGTTAAGCAAAGTTTAAAGCAACTAGGAAGATGAATACAGTTGCCTCTGAGCAATCCAATACCCAAAAAATTGGGTCCAAAGTTATTGGTTTTCACCAAGTATCTGTTTTGTCAGAGCAAATTTTGCTGAAAACAAAAAATTGTTTGGCCAAAAAAGTATTGGCCCTCAAAGATCATTGGTTTTCACACATACCGGTTTTCTCAGAGGTGACTGTAAGAGAAATTTGTGTAGTAGTTGAATGTTGATGTGATGATGCTCAAAATGGTTAGATTTTCAACATTTATATAGTCTGAACCTTGGAAATCTTTGGACTACAAGTGTGTGCAAATTGTGATTCTGAGATTAGTTAATTACAGTAACACAGTTACTATTGGATTCCAAGTATATTTCACTTGTATTGTAAGTAGGGCTGCGACCCGGTCCCGGCCCCGCACGGCCGAGTCTGCCCGACGACTTTTTGGAGCTCCACAGTACGCGCCCCGGGGCTTCAAAACCTAACATAGTGATAGTCACAAAAGCCCCGTCAGTGGCTCGGCCGGGTCGGCCGCCCGGCGGCCGACCTGTTTTCTCCTTGAAAAAGTTCTCACGACTGATTATGTCATACATCTTTGTTTATGCCGATTGACGTGTATACACCGGCACCCTCTTTCCACCGATCACGAGCATTGCATACCCCTTATCTCGCATAATCTCGCATATACACTTTCCCTTTTAATTGTATCCGCTATGTCCGCTCTTTCCATGCCCGTCACTAGATCAACAACTAATCTACGTCGCTCAGTCCTGTCATCTTCCAGTCTCGCTCCCTCTGATTCAGTCTCTGATACTGCTTCCAACACCACCAGCACTGCACGATCCTCCTGGGTCTGGCAGTACTTTGTCCAGGAACAAGTCAACCACGAAATGAAGAACGTTTGTCGAGCAAACAAAGGCTTCATTGATGCAACTGGCGGCGAAGAAGATCCTCAAGACACTGAGATCTGCAACAAGGCTCTTGCTCTCGATAAGCATGCCAGTACCAAATCCATGATCCGACACCTCGACCGCGCCCATCACATTGTTCCGCCGATTCCAACTGAACAACCTACTGTTGCAGCGTTTTATGTTGACGGACAGGCTGTCAAAGTAAGTCCTTTCGAAGCGTAATGTTTTACTTTTTTATGTTGAAGTCTCATATCAATGTATTAATATTTAACCATTTAATTTTTTATATAGGTCAAACCCCTCAACAGAGCCAACCTCAAGGAGGCTCTGATCCGTCTAGTAGTAAACCAAGAAGTCCCTGTCTGTTTTGTCGATGCACCCAAATTCCGAGAAATAATCAACATGGTCAATCCGGTGTCGTTCTCTCTTCTCTCTAAACGCACCGCTGTTTCCGATGGAATTGTAGATGCCTATCGATCGACCAAAGCGGCAATTACCAATATGCTCTCCTCTGTCAGCCATATCAGTCTCACATGCAATGGGTGGACCTCACCCACCAACATGGCCATGCTCGGTGTCACCGCACATTGGATTTCCGATGAGTTCGAGATTAAAGGTATCACATTGGCTCTGAAGCCAATTGATGGTCCTCATACTGGTATGTCTCTTTCTCGTTCCTCTTTTTTTAAGTTTCCTTTTTGGCTGACTTCTTCATGTCGATTTGTGTATCAACCGTTTGTTTATAGGGACAAATCTTGCATCCCATCTCAAGCATATTCTTGAGTCCTTCCACATTTCCGACCAACTTTACTGCATTACTGCCGACAATGCGTCGAACAATACAACCATGGGCCAAGCCCTTTCAACAATGATACCTCAATTTGATGCTTCACAAAACCTGCACAGATGCGTGGCCCATGTGATTAACCTGGTTGCTAAAGCGGGATTAGCGGTTTTTGATCAAAAGACTCCGACTCCGCCAATCAGTGCCCTGGATCCCACCATACCACAAAACCCTTCTTCAGTTCCATTATTCGTTGAGCCAACCTCCAACACCGAGATAGCCAGCATCTTGACTCGAATCCGAGGTTTTCACAAAAAAATTAAACACTCTAGTCAGCTTAAAACATCACTTGACAATGTGATCGCTAGCTGTGCCAAGTTGGAAAGAAAGGTTGGCCTAGTTCATGAGGTCTCAACACGTTGGTCTTTGACTCACTCCTCTCTCGCCCGATTTGTTGAACTTCGAGTGGTCTTGGAATATCAATTCAACTGCAATCCAGCACTTGAGTGCTTCATACTCGACCGCGATGAGTGGACCTTAGTGGAAAACTTGGTTCAATTCCTATCCCCGCTTGCTGCTGTGACTGAAACCATCGAAGGTCACCAATATCCAACCTTCTCTCTTGTTATGCCCGACTATCAATGGCTTGTTGCCAAGCTCAAAAGTGTGAGTTTTTCTCTCTTTTATTTTATTTTATTTATTTTTGTTTGTATATGTCAAAAGCTGATTAATTGCATAATCTTTTCACATAGGCCTGGGCGGATTCAAAATGCGCCGAACTCAAAGTTGCGATCATGCCTATGATAAAGAAAATTATTCAATACCAGGAGGCCGCTGAGAAGAAAGCAGTTTGCATTTGCTCG